GACTAGGGATTCTAGTTACCCCTGTAAACAGAGCTGGTGTCGACAACAGAAGTTCTTCGATCACCCTCGACAATGTAGGTCCATATGTATAGTTAGGTAACAATGTTTTTAAGAAATTCTAATTCAACTCTATCTATTGGACACTTCTGTTACATTTGGAAAATGAATATGCCAAACTCTTTATATGACTTGGAGCCAACCTGTGAAAAGTGGCTGCAGCACCTTTATACATAGAAAAAAACCAACTCTCTCCTTCTCCACTTTTCTGCCTGCTATACATCAAGTCAACTTTGGAAAGCAAGTATGCCAAATTCCATTCATGACTTAAAGGCCAACCTATATATTTGGTTGCAGCACCTTCATGTGTTTGGGTATTTCTAATCCTTCCTAGTTCACATTAGACACCTGTTTGAGTATTAAGTCTAGGTTTTAATATTATGTTTTACTAGTGCTTAGATAGGTTTATAGGACAATACTGAAATGGTCTGAACCACTTTTGTTATGTTTTATATTAGACTCTTCTTAGCAAAGAGAGATGTATATTAGTTTTTAGATTTGTAATATTGCCACACAGCAATCTCTTATAAATAATAAAGATACTAATTGCCATTCTGATATTAAAAAAAAAAAAAGTTATATATAAGTCTAGTTTATATTATTCAAATATATTAACTTGTTACAATTAGCTTGTCTAAAGACAAAATTTAAAGCAAGATTTTAATTGATTTTATTAATTTAAATAAAAATCTAATCAAGTTTTATTTAAGAAAAATATATTAAAAAATAAATTAAATTGAATTAAAAATAATATTTGTTTTTAATAATAAAATAATTATAAAAATTTTTACTTTAATTTATTGAAGATTACTTTTTTTTTTATTACTTATAGCTAGATTAATTATTTAATTTTTTATTTACTTAAATATTATTTAAAAATATTTATATGAATTTATAGCTAATACTTATTATTTAATTAATTTTATACTTTTATTACTATATAGATCTTATAATTAAACATCTTTTTGAAATAAATATTACCAGATTAATTTATTATTAAATTGAAAAAAAATTAACAAGATTTTTATAAAAAAAATATTAGATATTATAGGGAATAATTATCAAATCAATTATGCATAAAGTTAGAATCTCTAATCTTTTTTAATAATTATGGACTAAAACAAAATTTGAAAAGAAAGATTATATAAAAAAATATTTTTAATTTAATTACAAATATATTTATTTCCTTTAATATAACAAATTCTAAGATATACTTTCTTTAAATTAGGTAACTTTAAAATAATTAATAATAAAACAATTATAAATATTCTTTTAGAAAGATCTGTAAAGTTTATAATATATAGAAATTACATATTATTTGATATTTGTATCTTTAGATTTAGTAGTTTAAGCTAACTAAGAGTTTATAAAGTATTTATTAAGAGATTTAGGAGTTACATTTTACTTGATTTCAATTGAGTCTCCAGATTTGATAGTATATATCAACTATAGAAACAATTTTTGAAGTATTTACTTAAAAGTATATATTCTTGATTCTGGATATATAGTTTGTATTAAGCTATAGTTGTAAATGTGATAAGAAATCCAAAAAAGTTAAAATATAATATTAAAAATCTTTTTGACAATTAAAATTTAAAATTAGGTGGTTTAAAACTAGAGGCAGAATTTTTATCACTTGATTTTTATCAGCATATAAATTTATCTATAAGGTGTAAGTTTATATGATCAGATATATAAAGTTGAATATATCATTTAATATCAGTATAACTAGTAGACCATTTATATTATTAGTCCTATAAAAGTCATGGTATATAGTCACATACTGTGACTATCGCATCGTGTATCCTGGAAATGTAAAGTAGCATTAGTAATTAGTATAGAAAATATAGTCATAGAGCTTACATAACTTACTCATAGTTTATTTTAGTCTTGATAGTTTATTTTTTCTTAATTGTTTTTCTAGTAATAGCAATGATATAAATAGTAATGCCAATGTATAAGCAAAAAAAGAAATTGAAAATTGAAAAAAAAAAAGGAATAATAATAAAAATTGAAATATCAAATAAGAAATATTGTAATTAACAACTTACTTTTTCAAGTACACACCATATAAAGAAGGATAATTGCCACTATAGGACATAGCCCAGAATTATTAAGAGAAGAGCTGGTGTTGAGAAAAAAAAAAAAAGCTTGTTAATAACGAAAAGCTCTGACTAAATCAATCTTACACATCTCGACTTACCTTAGTTATGTGAACATTGAATCAGTGAAGCAACTGACTTGCCATTTTCCAGGTCAACAATATATAGAATATATGTAATTATTATAATAATTAATAAAAAACCATGTATATAATATATTTAACCTTAAAAAATAAAAAATATATATCAAATCAACCAATTGAAAACAGACACCTTATATATTTTACAGCTCTTAATAATTATTATAATATTAACTAAATAATTATTATATTATAATAGTAATTATAAAAAAAAAAACTCTTCTCCATACATAATATTTTTTTTACCTTTTGATATCCAAAAGTCCTTCATATCTTCTTTTTATTCATACAAAAGCTTCAAGAAAATTAAAGAAGTATACTGGTACATTGAAATGGAACCTTTGATCAGAGAAAAGCAAGTTTAAAAGTCTTGCTTTTTCTTTAAATTGCATAAGAAAAGACCTGTGGCAGTTATTTTTTTACAAATCTTTCTTGGAGCTCTTTATATTTTTTCTTCTTTCTAATATACAAACCTTTCTAAATAATTATATTTTCTGCTTGGAGGATTGCTTATTAACCCAAAAAATCAAACTTTACATCAAAATTGTCTATATAAATAATTATTTTTGAAGGTAACAAAAATATTAGATATGATTTTTTTAGACCTAACTTTTAAACAATACATATATAATATAAATTTTAGGATCATGCCAGAAAATTTCCAGTTCATACCTTCAAAAATAATTATCCATATTGTTGACTTGGAGAACTAACAATATATTCAATATATATTTTTTACTATTACTTAACATATTTCACTGCATTATCAAAAACAAAAAATTTTCACTTAAAAATTTTTTATCAAAAAACTATAATCAGTTTACTTCTGTCAATTGATCAACATTTCAAATTCAATCAATCAAATACTATCAAATTTCAAAATCATTCTGTATAACCAAAATATTATATATTGATCAATATAAACAAAATCTATTTTGGCAATATTAACCAAAACAAAATTACATTACAAAAAAATAAATCAATTAATATACTAACAAAAATATTAACAACTATAATAACAATATATGATCTAAATAACATGTCAACAATACTATTATTTACTTTGGACAATAGCCTGACCATTCTTAAAAGTAGTATTCTATTTTAGTTAAATGGATCAACCAGCATAGCACACTTAATTTAAGGCATTTCTTGTATAATAATCAGTTTTTTTTTTACTTTTCTTCTGATTATCACTAAATACTTAAATACAAATTACTATATCATCACTACAATAATAATATTATTATGACCAATTATCTATCAAGAAAATAAATTACCAACACTATTATATACTTTGGACAATAGCTTAATTATTTCTAGAAGTGCAACTACTGTATTTCAATTAAATGGAACTATTAGTGTAGCATGCTTGGTAATTTTATCCAAAGTATCCATAGCTTTACAATTAGTTTTATTGCATATATTTTTTTTGTTTAGTATTTTTTTTTTTCAATTTTCTATCTCTTATAGTTTTACATATAAACTTGAGTATGTATTCATAACTACTTGATATTATTTAGGATATACATTAGTTTTAATATTTATTTTCCATGTCACTTAGATAGTTTCTATAGGCAAGCTAGCATTAAACTCACTGATCAATTGGTTATATAAGAGATGTTGTCACTTTCAGCATATAAAATATTTTAAATTTTTTACAATAATAAAGAGATAATGTTTACATCTATTTAAAAAAATTATTATATTATAAAGTTTTTTCTGAAATTACAATCTTAATATCTACTGAATTAGCATTGAAAATAACTTCTTATAAAAAATAATACTTATTAAATTATAATACCAGATACTATATTAATTTCATTCAATTACCTTTACTTGAAATTGAACTAATATCTTGTAATTTGAATCTAAAAGTACTAACCACTGTGCTATTGATCCACAAATCTTTTATTAAAAAGTTAATATAAAATTATTTTTTTTTAAATATATATTTAAAAATATATTTTATAGTTATTTTGTTTTATATAAATTTTTATTTGTTAATTTAACAATAAATATTTGATATAAGAATTTTTGTAATTTTTTTTTAATATACTGTATATTTAGTTGTATAAAAAACACTTAATATAAATTAAATATTACAAAAATATTAATAAATATTTTGTATTTATAATTAAACCAATAGTAAAATTTTTCAATATATACATAATTATAATAATATAAAAAGTTTATTGTTCCTATACAAAATATATTATTATTATTAAAATATATCTAATACTAAAATTTTTAAATAAGTAAAATTCTACATAAATTATCATTATAATATAACTTTATGTATTACCTCCGATTAGGAAGTACTTTTCAAATAAGGATAAATTTTATACGCGTTCCAAAATACTAGCTGAAGACTAACAGAAAATTGTTGCATACCACGTGTATCAATCAAATCAAGGATTATAAATTTAAAGGTTATAATATACTGTAGGCATTAATTTATTTCTCAGATGGTCGAGTCGTTAATGAAGAGTTGCATTTCCTATTAATAAAATAGTCCAAGATACAGTATTTTGAACTTATAACGTGAATGTCGATCACGCGTCTTGGCTCGAGAATTGAATGATTTTGTGTATTATGATGAAAATAGGTTATTGTTTTTATAATTTTGTTTTTCGAAATATTTATGAATTAATATATGCTTTTGTAATGACTCAATTTTATAAGTTAATTCCTTTGAATTTTATTGAATGACGCAATCTTTTCCTTTTTGTTCTCTTTCGTTTAACTGCGTTAACTTACTCAGTTCGTGATCTGAACGCGTAAATTGCTCGCCTTTCGATAGCTTGTCTATTGCATCCTTATTGCCGTGTTCGGCAGCCTGAATTCATGGTGAAATCAAATGTGTTAATTCGCGCGAAAAATATGAAATCACAAATGAATAGATGAAACTAAAAAGCATACCTTTGTATACCAAGCATTCGCAACAGACATGTTGGCAGGAACATGAATTCCAACTTCGTGATAATATCCCATGGCAAATTCTGCTGTTGGTAATCCTTTCATCGCTGCCTTTTCAGCATACTCATACGCAAGCTCCTCATTTTGCTCGAAATAACCTTCGCAACCGCATAGGTACCATTTGGACAATGCCATATCCGCTTCCACATAACCTTTTTCAGTAGCCCGCTTATAATATTGAATTGATAATAAGGGATCGAACTGACAGCCTAAAGCTGAATACTCATAGCAAGACCCCATCTTAAATAATGCGCCAGCATGACCCAAATTTGCAGCCTTAAGGATCAGCTCTTTTGCTTCATAATCATCGGGCACGACAAGATCATCAGGAATATTGACTTTATCATATTCTCTAGCCAGTATCATCCCGTACACATAGGCGCCATCAGGGCATTCTTCATCGGCCTTCGATGCTGCTTGTTTTAAATAAATAAGTGCTTGCTTAAAATCTGGTTCCTGTTTCAATTCTCCATGCATATATACCAGTGCTAGGCGCTACAAGACGAATAATTAAATTATATATAAGAAAAAAGGCGATAAAAATAAAAATAATATGTGAATACTAACGTTTATGGAAACAATATCTCCAAGAGATGCAGCTTTCTTATGAAATTGTAATGCGCGTTTGTAATCTTTGTTTTTCTCATAATATTCAGCAACTTTACGTTTTGCCTTTGGAAGTCCTTGTTTAGATGAGGACAAATACAATTTGAAAGCTTTCTCTTCATTTTTTTCCTTTCCATAAGTTCCGTACTCAAACCATGTACCCTTTATGTACAATGCTTCTGCAAAATTATTCTTAGCAAGCTGGTTAACCCAATACATAACTTCCTCGTTTAATTTATTAATTGAACTGCCCTTAGAAACGTCTGTGCTACCATATTCACCAAATTCCCCCAATTCACCTAATTCAACCATTTGCATAAGGAATTTTGCATAATCCATTTGAATGGCAGGATCATTTGTCTTTTTAGCAGCTTCACGATATTTTTGTAATGCTTCGTTTTCATCTAGAGCTAAAGTTTTTGACATCGCAGTCCTTCTTCTAGCAGCCTTGTCATCTATCCACAACTTTAAAGGAGGAATCTTTGAATTGCGATCAGGCGTGGGAGTTCTGTTTCCCTCAGAATAATATAAACTACCTCTATTCCCACCAGACAATGAAAATGGTATGGGTACACCATCTGGACCGAGAGATGAATGTCGTGAATAATCAGACATTCGATCTAAATAGCCGGGGCCCTGGATATATTGTCGTTCATCATAGCCTGACGTCAATTGACTCGGTGAACCCCAAGATCCCGACCCATCTTGATTAAATTGTTGTCTTTGATACTGAGTCTGACTTTCTGGTATTGGAACGGAGGGCAAAACAGCACGGTTGGTGTGTTCCGGAAGGTTTCGTTGAATTGTAATCTCTTGCATATCCTTTATTAGTTCCTGTATCGGGTATCCTTGATCCTGGGCATAAGAACTATTGGTTATGTTGACATTTTGATCATAATGAAACTGTTGGATATGCTGTGAGGGATTAACATAATTATTCTCCAGAATATGATTTTGCGGAACATTCGTGAATAATCTTTCCTTGCCACCGTTATTCCAACTTTGTATTCCGGAAACTTGATACTCTTCGGCATCTTGATATTGTGTTTCTATTACGGCCGGCAAAAATTTCTGAGGTTTAGGTGAAATTATTGTAGGGAATGGTTGATCGTGCACCTTGTATATAATAGGTTCGGGAACCTGGGAGCCCGAGGGCTCGTTATAATTTCTATATTGTTGAGATATATGACCAGTGGGTCTACTCGGTAGCGGTCTCGGACCTGCGACAGATCTTGTTCTTGACAAAGGCGCTGAAAGGTGAGAATGCATACCACTGTCTTCACTAAAAGATTTACTGTGATAACTCCGTGTTCCTGCCATTTTTTGTTAATATGATGATTTCTCTCCTCCAAAAAATAAATATTTTATATTGACAATGTAAGATGTAAAAACAAAAAACCTGAACCTCACAAGGAATTAAAGGATCTGTTTATAATTTAAGTAAGAATGGGAACAGACTCTTTATTTTACCCTTTAGTAAATTTCTTGGGAGAAAGTTCCGGTCGACTATATGGCGTGAACATAACGGACAAATTTGGTATTTATGTGACTGTGGTACTTGACAAATATGCATTGTATTTATGTGCATGGAATAAAGATTCATAAATAGAGTATGTAACCAATCTGTACATCTGTGGCTAATGACATCTTGGCCACGAAGGGATGGAAGAAAGTTACTATTTTTGACAGCTTAGTCATTTAAATAAGTTCACGTGGTACGAATCGTTGATTTTTATTCTGTAATGAATGTGAACTTACAAAAATATGTATCATTGACGTAATTATAGAAGTAATTCGAAAAGTGAGTTTTGTTTAAATAATTAAAAATATAATAAGGAATAACGTATACAAAACAAATTAATGAAAAAGAAGAAATTATTTTTTATTGCAAAATTACCAAAAAAATTTTTTGTGTATTTTTTAAAAAAATAGCCTGATTATAAAAATTTTATATAAAGTATGAAAAGTTCAAAATTGAAAATAAACAATCATTTTTTATATAATAAATAAATAAAAAGAATGTTCCGATTTCGAACTTTTTGTACTGTATATAAATTTTTTAATAGCTACAATTAGAATTCTTAACAGTATTATTTCAGTATTATTTGATATTTGTTTTATTATAAATTAATAAAATAAATTATAATTCACATATTAAATTTATTATAAGTTGATACTATTTTAATATCAGTTTAAAATCCTATCTATAATTAATAAGTTCAATAAAAAAAATAAAAAATGTATATAATTTTAATATAAAATAATAATTTATTTTATTTTATTTTTGATTTTAAATAAAATATTTTATTAATATAAAAAATTGTCTATTATATAATTAATATTAAAATATCTGGATCAGTGTATGAAATGGCTTCTCATGAAAAAATATAGTTAACATTATAATTCTAAAAATTGGAATTGAAAAAAATTGCATAAAATAATAAATAACATTATATATACTCTATTATCTATGATAACTAAAGAGCTTAAAAGATAAGATAATGAACCTGTTTAGAAATTTTTTGGATCACATAAGATTTGAAATATTATTAAAAATAATAATAAAATATATTTCACTTATTAAATTTAATATAAATTTGAAAATTAAATATAAAATTGAATTAAATTATTAGAATTCTTAATCAACATATAAATTATATAAAGGTAGCATTATGGCTTAAAATGGAAGATAAAAAAAAAACCAAAAATGAACATCAAATAGTATAGTGTTATCAAAAATTATAAACTTATATATTAATTAGTAATTTCATAATAGCAAACTATTTAAATATAAACTTTTCAATAAGAAACTTTCAACAAAGAACAAATTAAATACAAAAAAATAAAAATATACAAAAATAAAAACCGCTTTCAATGCAATTAATAAGAAATTACAAAATATATTTTTTAAAAATACCATAAATATTAAGTCAAGAAAAAATTTAAACAAATTCTCAAGACAAAAATCTCAAGCAAAATAATCAAACAGAAGAAAACAATAAGATAATAAAGTAATATAAAAAAGATAATAATTAATAAATTAAAAAAATATATATTATATATTATAAAAAGAATATATAATAAGAATTTAATAAAGATTATCAATTAAATCAAGAATATAAAACCAAAAGAAATATTAGAAGCAATTACAAATTAGATAATAAAAAAATTATAAAAAATTTAAAATTAATAAAAAATTTTATTAAAAAATTAAAAAAAATATATCAAAATATTGATCAATTAAAAAATATATAAAATATTTTAAAAAAAAATAAATAAAGCAAGCAAATAATATATAGAAAAAATTAATAAATAATTGGCTGGATTAGAAAAAGAATATAGTAATTTTTAATTTTTATAACTTTTTTTTATATAATAATAAACTAATGATATTTTGATATATTAATCTTAAAAAAACAAATAACAAGTTAATAATAACAAGTTAATATAAAAATAATTTAATATAGCTTAACATATACTTAAAAAAATTTTTTTTTTATATTCGGCTAGCTGGACTATACCTATGCATCCATTTATTTAATTCACATATGCTTTACATTATATGTTACAAGATGAAGCTATATATGAGTTATTCTAGAAATCACTAGACTACATCAGATTTTACTTCCATGTCAGCTTGTTGCTATTAACTGTATATCTAAAGATCTACATGTGTCAAGGATAACATGCTAAAGCTTCATCAGTGCTGTTATTATATATAAAAGGTTCTATTTCTAATTGGGAAAATGTTAAAGTGAAGTATAAAAAGGAAAACTAGGAGTAGTACATATTAGGCAAATAGAACCTTTGCAGAAAAAATCCTTCTAAACCTGACTACCTGCAACTGGGCATATCATTTAATTTCTACCTTCCTAGAGTTATCCAAGAATATTCAAGAAACTTATCTCACAGACTTACTGCCCATAGATTATTTCAGCTATTGATACTTACTGCTGTTTTGGCTACCTTCCTGGAATAAGTAATTGTTGGAGCAATCTATTACTGGATTGGAATAAGATTTTTCTGGAAACTTGCAGGAAGAGACATCAAGTATCACAAGAAAATAATCACCAAGTCAACTTACTGAAAGCAGACACCTCATACACCTTGCAACTTCTGACGATTATCATAATACCAACTGGATGATTGTCACACCATGATGCCTTTTCTGGAAATTACAATCCCAACATCCATTGGATCAGTGTATGAAACAGCTTCTTATGGGAAACAGTGCTTTTACAAATTATGGCGCCAAATACCATATTAATTCTATTTAACTGCTTTCACATGGGGTTGAACTGGTATTTTGTGATTTGACCTGTGGAGTATTAATCACTACATTATTGACCCATAGGACACATATACTTAAAATAGTTTGTTTATAAATAGTTACTATTGTAAAAAATATACAAATATAAACAAAATAAAATATATTAGATAAGGTTTTACTAATTTAAAAAAATTATTATTTAATTTAAAAATTATTTTTTTTTTAATAAATAAATACCATTTTTTTTATTTATAGTATTATATAGTATTTATAAAGTTATATACATTATAAAAGAAATAATATTTCTTGAATGTAAAGCATATAATAAATTAAATACTAGCTTGTTTATATATCTATATTTAATTAATATCAAAAATAAATTTTAAAATAATATTATATATATTAAATATAATTAAATAATAGTTAAAAAAAACTTTTTCTCACAACTTTCCAATTTGTAAAAAATTTCTTTTTTTGATAATAATATAAATGGTAGACAGTAAACAATAAGCAAGAATTTTTTCCTAAGAGAGGAGTCCATTTTAGCTTACTACAGGATGCAAGAGATCGATTAACTTTTTATAGAGAAGTGAATACTTTAGGAGTGGCAAAAACCTCTTTAATTAAACTTTTTATTTTACTGAGTAAATCTTATATAAGCAACCTCCAAACAAAAGAAAATCTTTTTACTATATTTATATACATTACTACTTATCACAATACAAAAAACATATATAAAATCAAATACAATCTTTTTCTCAAGAGGCAACATTTTATTTTTTTAAAGTTTTTGTTTTCTGCTAATGCAACTAATGCTAGATTTATTATAATCTTCTGGCTAATTATTAGTTCTCACTAAAATTTTTTCACACAAAAATCAAAATTAGCTTATCCCCACCAAAAGATCTATAATATACAAACCACTAATGACATTCTGTATCACCAAATCATATTAATATAACAACTTACCAGATTGGGAGAGCATGTAATCAATGCCCTGCATAGGTTCTAGTAAAAACAATACATCACATTTACTAAACAAAAATAACAAACATTTGAAACATAAAAGTTTTAATTATCTCATTACTAACATTATAACTTGACCAAATCATACTATAGTAACATATCTCAAAATCTATATGACTAAATCTATTGAGTTAACTATAGTTTGCATAATACCAATATCTGACTGAAACAACTAATTGTATTTAAGAACTATATTTAACAAAAGTTACAATATCATTTCTAACCTTTTTTTTTTTTGTTCAAATTTCATTATATTATAGCAACCTTGCTCCAAATGTTTTTTTTTATTTTTATTTTTTATATAACAAATAATTTCTCAAGTTTTCTTTACTCAAAGGTTTTTCAGATAATATATTTGTTAAACAGGTGGTAGACTAATATCTATAGTGATATAACTCTTAAACTTAATATTAATTATGTAACAATTTTATTATATTAATAAAAATAAAAGTATGTCTTATTTTAACAGTAAAAAAAAAATTAAATAATAGTTATATTTACTTATTTAAGAAAATTAATTGGATATATAAAAAATAAAAAATAAAAAAAATAAATAAATAAAACTAAAACTAAAATTTTAATAATATAAATTATTTAAATTTAAACTATATTAATTAAACTATAAAATTTATATAAATAAAAATAATATTTTTAAAAAAGTTTTTAGTTTAATTCTGATATTTATCTTTCTAATTTTTTATTATTTGTTAATATAAATTTTACTAATACAGATAATAAAATATAATTGATATTGTTTATTTTTATAATAATAATAGTTATTATTATTAATGTATTAAAAAACTAATTTAAACAGGTTTAATTTTTACTTTATTGTTTTGATAAAATTTAATTAATTGATTAAAGAATATTAATTATTTGAAAAAAATAAACTATAAGGCTTTAAAAAATATTAAACTGATATCAAAATAGTATTAATCTATAATAAATTTAAATAATAAATTAATATTAAAGTAGTATTAAAATATTATTATTAGAAGTCTTAGTAAACTAATAAAAATTTTTG